ACACGTATCACAACTCCTATTTCCCGATATCTTCATTTGAGGGGCATCAATTTCGACCCGGACCTGGACGATTGCCTTATGCACCTGTTTGACCGTCTACTTCTTATACAACAACGGGATTTCACCCTTCGTCTGTTGCGCCAACTAGGGTGGCTGGTCAACTTGGACAAATCGGAACTTGTCCTGACTTACACTCTGACATTCATTGGATGCCATTTCCAGACGGACAAAAACCTAGTTCAGATTCCTCTGGACAGGTGGGACAAGATTCAGTCTCTGATTCCACCTGCGCTCTCCCAACCCCTGTCCCTCAGAGAGTGGCAGTCGCTTCTGGGATTGTTGACGTCGGCGCAGGATCTTACCAGCTGAGGGCGTCTTCAACTTCGTCCTCTGCAGCGCTTTCTTCAACCATACATTCGTCGGGCAGACGTTCATCAACGGTTTTGCCTTCCACCTCAGTTACATCGCTATCTTCTTTGGTGGACTCGCCCATTGAACGTCTTAGGAGGAGTCTCTTTGACAGAGCAGCCTCCGGATTGCCAACTGTTCGTGGACGCCTCCCTGCAGGGTTGGGGCGCTCACTTACACGATCAGACAGCCTCCGGCCTGTGGTCGGGTCAACACAGCAACTGGCATATAAACAGTCTGGAGTTGGAGGCCGTGATCCTCGCTATTCATCATTGGGCACATTGACTACGAGGAACTTGTCTTCTAGTGGCCACAGACAACACCACGGTCGTATGGTACATACGAAGGCAAGGGTCGACGCGCTCACAGCTTCTCCTCGATCAGACTTTTCGGCTCTTTCAACTGGTCGACAATCTCCACATTCTGTTGAGAGTTCGGCATATTCCGGGGTGCCGCAATATACTAGCAGACGCTCTCTCGAGACCTGACAGAGTTGCTCCCACGGAGTGGATGCTACACAAGGAGGCCTTCACTCACCTAAGTCACGCACTGGGTTCTCCAAACATAGATCTGTTTGCCACCAGCCAAAACCATCAACTACCAGTGTATGTATCCCCAGTCCCGGATCCAGCGGCTTGGGCGGTGGATGCTCTCAGCCTATCGTGGGAGGGACTTCACGTGTATGCGTTTCCGCCACCAGTTCTATTACCCAAAGTTCTCGCAAAAGTCAAGGAGACAACTTGCCTACGACTGCTTTTGGTCGGGCCTTGGTGGCCGTCCAGGAACTGGTTTCCTGTTCTAAAAAGTCTAGTGGTAGGAGATCCCTTCCCTCTACCCACGTGGAGGAACGTTCTCGTGCACCCTCACAGCCGTCTTCCGCATCCGGCTCCAGACCGATTCAATCTGCACGCATGGACCATTTGCAGAAAGCACTGAGTGCTAAGGGTTTTTCGGCTAGAGCAGCCAAAGCCATTGCGACGGCGCACAGAACTTCTACTAGACATTTGTATGATGACAAGTGGCAGTCGTTTGAACGCTTTTGTGTTACCAGGAAGCAGGATCCGCTGAAAGTGTCTCCTCAGTTCATAGCAGACTTCTTACTTTATCTCAGAACGTCAAGGCGTCTGAAGGGAGGCACCATTGCCACGTATTCGGCAGCAATTAGCTCTGTTTTAGCGATTCCCACTGACAGAAGGATTTCCAAAATCCCAGAATTACAGGCCATGCTTCGCTCATTCCGACTTGAAGACCAGAAGTTGAAGTTTTGTCCGCCGGCATGGAATCTCAACACTGTTTTAGACCATCTCCATGGTGCACCTTATGAACCTCTTGATAACGCTTCCCTCGCTGATTTATCCAGGAAGACGACTTTTCTGTTGTCATTAGCGACTGCGGCTAGAGTGAGTGAGGTTCACGCCCTTGACGTGACTAGGATCAAGTTTGAACGTCGTCGTCATGGTTCTGTGCACTTAGGTCTGTGTTGGGATTTCATCGCTAAAAATCAACTACCAGATCAACCTGATCGACAGTTTTCCATCCCGCCATTATCATCTATTGTTGGCTCTGAAGGCGATCACGGAATTACTGTTATGTCCGATTAGATGCGCTCAAAACTTACATTGATCGCACCAAAGTCCGTGGTACAAGGAAGCGGTTATTTCTTCCCCTGTCCCGAGGCGTCACAGTCAGATGTCAGCAAAACACAATTGCCTTATGGTTAAGAACAACCATTCTTCAGGCATATAAAGCGGCTGGGCTGGACCCTCCTACATCCTCTCATCCCCACGAGATTCGAGCACTTGCCCGACTATGGCACTTCACAGTAATTGCACTGTGTCATCCATTATGCAAGGTTGTTTTGGCGGTCGGACACAGTGTTTGCCAGTCATTATTTGCGTGACATGGCTGTCAAGGGCGTTAACGATGTCCACAGCTTCGGACCATTGGTGGTTGCTCAGCAACTCGCCATTCCCGAAGAAAGTGACCCTCCTGCCTTGTGTTTTCCTTCCCACGGGCCACCATGTGGGGAATGAGTTGTTTTTCTTCAGAAACAACTAGGTATGTCAGTTAAGGAGTTATCCTTGTTTTTCAAGTCCATGCTTTTACTGCATTCCTTAAGCTTAGCCGCTTTAAAATTAGTGGTTTCTTTTCATTTAAGCGCGCAGTCTTATTTGCGAATTACTGCTACCTGATTGTCACTCGCTAATTAGCTCTCTGTTATAGGCGCGTTATCAACGCTTCCCGAGCACGGGATTACGGATTGAGCTGGCTGCTATTACGTAAGCGAGGCGATCCCTCAGATGACACGCCCACCTTCCAGCCTGTCAGATAAAGTGCAGGAAGTAAGTAGTGCAGGATTAGTTAAAAATTTAGTAAAATCTAAATATTTTTTATATTTGTGTACTTATCCTGCACTACTTATGATAAGGGCCCACCCTGTGCTATCAGCTACCTCCCCGCTTACTTTTGCCATCTGTGGGATTTACGGCAATAATCTGAGGTGGCTGACGTCACCTTCCGGTGACGCATGCGCAGACGAGTAAGCAGCCGAGACCAGGAAGTGATTGCAGTTCTACGTCTTTTTTGACATCGTCTGGCAAGCCACGCTTTTCGAGCCGTAAGCAATAAGTGCAGGAAGTAAGTAGTGCAGGATAAGTATACAAATATAGAAAATATTTAGATTTTACTAATTTTAACAAATATTTTCATAACAAATATTTCTTATTCATCTTGACTGGAAGATACCCTTGCAAGATGTAAAATCTGTATTGATACAGTCTTACATCCATATCAAAAATGGCACCAGGAACATCTTTTACTGCTTCAGAATTCATGGTCACTGCCAAGTTGTCATGTAAAATCAAAGATTAAGCCATCGATATTAAGCCATAAGATATGTCGCCATGTCACGTGAGACCCGCTTCTGCCCATTAACTGTTGGGTTATTACTGTAATAGGTGGAAGTACGAGTGTGTTTTGTAGATGTTTATTGTGATTTTACGAACTTTATATTCAAGTTTTGCGTTAGTATTCTCCTTTAATGTTTACTATGTTGTTGGGCATAGTGCAGTATTAATGTGTACTATGTTGTTGGGCATAGTGCAGTATTAATGTGTACTATGTTTTTGGATGAGAGTGCAGTATTAATGTGTTCTATGTTGTTGGGCAGGAGAGCAGTATTAATGTGTACTATGTTGTTGGGCGTAGTGCAGTATTAATGTGTACTATGTTGTTGGATGAGAGTGCAGTATTAATGTGTTCTATGTTGTTGGATGAGAGTGCACTATTAATTTGTTCTATGTTGTTGGGCAGGAGAGCAGTATTAATGTGTACTATATTGTAGGGCGTAGTTCAGTATTAATGTGTATTATGTTGTTGGATGAGAGTGTAGTACAGTGAAGCCCCCGTTAGTCCGGACTCCGATAATCCGGAAGTCTCGCCTCCCGGGCGATTTCAGCTTGTTACCAATCTATGCCTATATAATTTGCCTCGATAATCCGGAAATTCGGTTTCCGGAACCGGACGGTAAGTAGCTGTCACCAATCAGTAAAATAAACAGTAAATTGCTTCACAGTCCGGACACTGTAAGTCGTGTTCACGAACCGTAACAACACCGCCCGGCAATGTTTACTTAATTAACTGGCCAACTGGGTTGTTGTTTTAATTAGACATTAAAAGCTCCCGACTGAAGATACTGTACATTTACACTTTGATTGACACCACAATACAAAGGCGTGGATGACAAGTGAGCTGTTTTGTGATTGGTTAATGTACTTTGACAGAGAGATCCGGTCACGTGGACTAAAAGTGATTTTGCTTTACGACAATGCTGCAAGTCACAAGTGTGCTTCGCTAACTTTGCGAAATGTAACCAAATACCACGTCTCATATTCAACCGATGGATGCAGGAATAATTCGGACATTCAAGGCATACTACAATAGATCGCTTGTTAGACATTACCTCACCTGTGCTGAGGAAGGACGTGATCAGACACGTCGGATCAACATGCGGATGTCACTCGGTAAAATTATTGATGTGATGAATTAAGCTTTACATTAAATGCTTATTTGTTTTATCCAGATTGGTGTCGTTTTTGTAATTCTTAGGGAAGCAGCTTGGGTCTTGATTCAGTAGTCCGGACTATTCGCAATCCGGACGAATTTACTGAGAAACGCAACCGTCCGGATTAACGAGGCTTCACTGTATTAATGTGTACTATGTTGTTGGACAGGAGAGCAGTATTAATGTGTACTATGTTGTTGGATGAGAGTGCAGTATTTATGTGTACTATGTTGTTGGATGGGAGTGCAGTTTTAATGTTCTATGTTGTTGGATGAGAGTGCAGTATTAATGTGTACTATGTTGTTGGATGAGAGTGCAGTATTAATGTGTACTGTGTTGTTGGGCGTAGTGCAGTATTAATGTGTACTATGTTGTTGGGCAGGAGAGCAGTATTAATGTGTACTATGTTGTTGGATGAGAGTGCAGTATTAATGTGTAATGTGTTGTTGGATGGGAGTGCAGTATTAATGTGTACTATGTTGTTGGATGGGAATGCAGTATTAATGTGTTCTATGTTGTTGGTTTGAAGGAGTACCTAGAGGACCAAGAGCGGAGCACAGAGGATGAGTTCTTGGAGAAGATCTGGCCCAATATTAAGGAGATCTATAAAGCACCAGTGGAGGAGAGTGAAACCAAGGGAGATGAAGATATGTCTCCACCATCAGCTACTCATACTGTGAGTACATCATGTTACCTTTTGTTGGATGATACACACTATTTGGGTATAGGGTAATAGAACACCTGTACATATACAACACATGTCAGTAACTGAGAGGGCTGTCTGTATAGGGTGATAGAACACCTGCACATATACAACTCATGTCAGTAACTGAGAGGGCTGTCTATATAGGGTGATAGAACACCTGTACATATACAACACATGTCAGTAACTGAGAGGGCTGTCTATATAGGGTGATAGAACACCTGCACATATACAACACATGTCAGTAACTGAGAGGGCTGCCTATATAGGGTGATAGAGCACCTGTACTTATACAACACATGTCAGTAACTGAGAGGGCTGTCTATATAGGGTGATAGAACACCTGTACATATACAACACATCTCAGTAATCTTGATGGCTGTCTGTATATATAGGGTGATGTAGTAACTGAGTGGGCCTGTATACATATACAACACATCTCAGTAATCTTGATGGCTGTCTATATAGGGTGATAGAACACCTGTACATATACAACACATGTCAGTAACTGAGAGGGCTGTCTATATAGGGTGATAGAACACCTGTACATATACAACACATCTCAGTAATCTTGATGGCTGTCTATATAGGGTGATAGAACACCTGTACATATACAACACATCTCAGTAATCTTGATGGCTGCCTATATAGGGTGATAGAACACCTGTACATATACAACACATGTCAGTAACTGAGAGGGCTGTCTTTATAGGGTGATAGAACACCTGCACATATAGAACACATGTCAGTACCTGAGAGGGCTGTCTGTATAGGGTGATAGAACACCTGCACATATACAACACATGTCAGTAACTGAGGCATGTGGGCTGTCTGTATAGTGTGGTAGAACACCTGTACATATACAACACATCTCAGTAATCTTGATGGCTGTCTATATAGGGTGATAGAACACCTGTACATATACAACACAACACATCAGTAACTGAGAGGGCTGTCTATATAGGGTGATAGAACACCTGTACATATACAACACATGTCAGTAACTGAGAGGGCTGTCTGTATAGGGTGATAGAACACCTGCACATATAGAACACATGTCAGTACCTGAGAGGGCTGTCTGTATAGGGTGATAGAACACCTGTACATATACAACACATGTCAGTAACTGAGATGGGCTGTCTGTATAGGGTGATAGAACACCTGCACATATACAACACATGTCAGTTACTGAGAGGGCTGTCTGTATAGGGTGATAGAACACCTGTACATATACAACACATGTCAGTAACTGAGAGGGCTGTCTGTATAGGGTGATAGAACACCTGTACATATACAACACATGTCAGTAACTGAGAGGGCTGTCTGTATAAGGTGATAGAACACCTGCATCTATACAACACATGTCAGTAACTGAGAGGGTTGTCTGTATAGGGTAATAGAACACCTGTACATATACAACACATCTCAGTAACCTTGATGGCTGCCTATATAGGGTGATAGAACACCTGTACATATACAACACATGTCAGTAACTGAGAGGGCTGTCTGTATAGTGTGGTAGAACACCTGTACATATACAACACATGTCAGTAACTGAGAGGGCTGTCTGTATAGGGTGATAGAACACCTGCACATATAGAACACATGTCAGTACCTGAGAGGGCTGTCTGTATAGGGGAATATAAAAAACCTGTACATATACAACGCATGTCAGTAACTGAGTGGGCTGTCTGTATAGGGTGATAGAACACCTGTACATATACAACACATGTCAGTTACTGAGAGGGCTGTCTGTATAGGGTGATAGAACACCTGGATCTATACAACACATGTCAGTAACTGAGAGGGCTGTCTATATAGGGTGATAGAGAACACCTGTACATATACAACACATCTCAGTAATCTGAGATGGCTGCCTATACAGGGTGATAGAACACCTGTACATATACAACACATGTCAGTAACTGAGAGGGCTGTCTGTATAGGGTGATAGAACACCTGCACATATAGAACACATGTCAGTACCTGAGAGGGCTGTCTGTATAGGGTGATAGAACACCTGCACATATACAACACATGTCAGTAACTGAGAGGGCTGTCTGTATAGGGGATATAAACACCTGTACATATAGGGTCAGTAACTGAGAACACCTGTACACATACAACATATACAACACATGTCAGTAACTGAGAGGGCTGTCTGTATAGGGTGATAGAAACACCTGTACATATACAACACATGTCAGTAACTCAGAGAGGGCTGTCTGTATAGGGTGATAGAACACCTGCACATATACAACACATGTCAGTAACTGAGAGGGCTGTCTGTATAGGGTGATAGAACACCTGTACACACATATACAACACATGTCAGTAACTGAGAGGGCTGTCTGTATAGGGTGATAGAACACCTGTACATATACAACACATGTCAGTAACTGAGAGGGCTGTCTGTATAGGGTGATAGAACACCTGCACATATACAACACATGTCAGTAACTGAGAGGGCTGTCTGTATAGGGTGATAGAACACCTGTACATATACAACACATGTCAGTAACTGAGTGGGCTGTCTGTATAGGGTGATAGAACACCTGTACATATACAACACATGTCAGTAACTGAGAGGGCTGTCTGTATAGGGTGATAGAACACCTGTACATATATGTCAGTAACACATGTATCAGTACCTGAGAGGGTTGTCTGTATAGGGTAATAGAACACCTGTACATATACAACACATCTCAGTAACCTTGATGGCTGCCTATATAGGGTGATAGAACACCTGTACATATACAACACATGTCAGTAACTGAGAGGGCTGTCTGTATAGTGTGGTAGAACACCTGTACATATACAACACATGTCAGTAACTGAGAGGGCTGTCTGTATAGGGTGATAGAACACCTGCACATATACAACACATGTCAGTACCTGAGAGGGCTGTCTGTATAGGGTGGGGAAATATAAAAACCTGTACATATACAATGCATGTCAGTAACTGAGTGGGCTGTCTGTATAGGGTGATAGAACACCTGTACATATACAACACATGTCAGTTACTGAGAGGGCTGTCTGTATAGGGTGATAGAACACCTGGATCTATACAACACATGTCAGTAACTGAGAGGGCTGTCTATATAGGGTGATAGAGCACCTGTACATATACAACACATCTCAGTAATCTTGATGGCTGCCTATATAGGGTGATAGAACACCTGTACATATACAACACATGTCAGTAACTGAGAGGGCTGTCTGTATAGGGTGATAGAACACCTGCACATATAGAACACATGTCAGTACCTGAGAGGGCTGTCTGTATAGGGTGATAGAACACCTGCACATATACAACACATGTCAGTAACTGAGAGGGCTGTCTGTATAGGGTGATAGAACACCTGCACATATACAACACATGTCAGTAACTGAGAGGGCTGTCTGTATAGGGGAATATAAAAAACCTGTACATATACAACGCATGTCAGTAACTGAGAGGGCTGTCTGTATAGGGTGATAGAACACCTGTACATATACAACACATGTCAGTAACTGAGAGGGCTGTCTGTATAGGGTGATAGAACACCTGTACATATACAACACATGTCAGTAACTTGATGGCACCTGTACATATACAACTATATAGGGTGATAGAACACCTGTACATATACAACACATGTCAGTAACTGAGAGGGCTGTCTGTATAGGGTGATAGAACACCTGCACATATACAACACATGTCAGTAACTGAGAGGGCTGTCTGTATAGGGTGATAGAACACCTGTACATATACACATAGTAAGAGGGCTGTCACATGTCAGTAACTCAGTAACCTGAGAGGGCTGTCTGTATAAGGTGATAGAACACCTGCATCTATACAACACATGTCAGTAACTGAGAGGGTTGTCTGTATAGGGTAATAGAACACCTGTACATATACAACACATCTCAGTAACCTTGATGGCTGCCTATATAGGGTGATAGAACACCTGTACATATACAACACATGTCAGTAACTGAGAGGGCTGTCTGTATAGGGTGATAGAACACCTGCACATATAGCAACACATGTCAGTACCTGAGAGGGCTGTCTGTATAGGGTGTCTGTATAGGGAAAAACCTGTACATATACAACACATGTCAGTAACTGAGTGGGCTGTCTGTATAGGGTGATAGAACACCTGTACATATACAACACATGTCAGTAACTGAGAGGGCTGTCTGTATAGGGTGATAGAACACCTGTACATATACAACACATGTCAGTAACTGAGAGGGCTGTCTGTATAGGGTGATAGAACACCTGTACATATACAACACATGTCAGTTACTGAGAGGGTTGTCTGTATAGGGTGATAGAACACCTGTACATATACAACACATGTCAGTAACTGAGAGGGCTTTCTGTATAGGGTGATAGAACACCTGGATTTATACAACACATGTCAATTACTGAGAGGGTTGTCTTTATAGGGTGATAGAACACCTACACATATACAACACTGATAAAACACACATATATTTACATTTTGCTTATGTTTTGTTGATTAAAGGTGTAATATCACTTGGTAAGAAGTATTTTACACCTTCAAACATGAGTGACCAGGGCTCCAGATAATTTTTCAACGTCAGGAGTACGTACTCCTTATTTTTTCAACACAGGAGTATTGGAAAACGTAAGAGTACAATTAGAGTACTGAATGGAATTTAATGGAGGATCAGTAATCTTGTGTTTCGTTTCATATATGCACAACAACATTGCTACTCTTGTGTGTCAATGAACAATAAAACAATACTTTTTCAGATAAATACGTCTGTAAATGATTCTAAGACCGTACACCATTGCTGTGGTGCGTATCTGCTACGTTTTCTCAATTATTTCTTACCGTATCGTGCATATTTTTTATCCGTACATACCCCGATACGGCCCTTATCTGGAGCCCAGGTGGTTCAGTTGGTTGACAGGATAAAGAAGAAAGGAATATTGTCTGACTATTACAAATTCAGTCTTG